TGTATAGCCCCGAGAGATTACATCAAAGATTTATATTTCTTCCGGCTGGTTCCGGTTTTCAGAGAACTGAAAGTGAATTTCCGAATGTATCATGGCTATTCTCTCCGGGCTATTCGTTTACGTTTTACTGTAATTAAATCAACGATTTGCCCCGAATTCAGGACACGGCCGGCTATATGCGATGCTATGTTCCTCCGCATACATACGTACATGTACACGCGGCCGTGTAAAGTTACACACACACGTGCACACATACACAAAGAGAGAGATACAGACAGAGCTATGTAAACGTTTGCATACATAGGCATGTAGAGGTATGCCAAGGATGCATCTTCCTCAATAGTCTAACGTATAAGTCAAGATTGCATGCGATGGAACAAATTTCCTACCGGGAGCCGCCGAAAAAAATTTGCCCCGTTTCTCGCCAGAATACGTCAAATGCTTCAGCGATAGTTTCTATTTGCCGGTGGCTAGTGTTTGAGCATATTTTTTAAGATCTACCAGAACGTCCTCCGTGTTTATAACCGGTACTTGGTTCGTTTAGCGCTGGCGAATGTTCAATAATTGGTACGGGAAAGAATCGTGTGTGCCTCTCCGATATGTTTTTGTTTTCCTTCTGATGCATCAAGCCGTCACGTATACGCGTACCGGGTCCATGTATGTTTCCCGATTGAAAATGTTCGGTATCGTTATTATTTGGTTGCGCGATGCGCGCGATTCGCTGAATTCGACGCGAATGCGAACAGGGACGGTATGAATGGCGATGGTTTAGTGAGAAACAAAACGAAACACAATAACGGTGGAGGACCGATTCTCCGATGATTTCCATCTCTGACTTTGGTCAAGCTCCCCGTTGTCAATTAGCGGGAAAACTGATCGAAAATAAATTCAATTTTCTCTTCGCGAACAGTGAATGCATACTTGCGGTGAATAAAACGCGTGGCACCCATGTGTCGTGACCTATTCCATTCGTTCCCCGTTCCCGTCATTTCCGCCGCGCGATGCGGCGCCGTTCCGAAACGACGAATTTGAAAACGAGAACGGAATGGGAAAACGAAAAAAAAAAAAAAAGAAAAATGGGGGAAGGAGCGCGAGGACGACGACGCGTCGTCGCGAACGGCTGTAAATAATTCTTCGCCCCGGAACGGAACCACACCGTTGGTCAGTAATTACACGAAAAGCATTTCAAACGCGGCGCGGTTAATGCGATCAACTGAAATTGAAAAATAACGTTGTTCCCCTCCGATCCGTTTATTTCCCGTTTACAATGAAGCGGGGCAAACATGTCGGGACACCGGGGCTAACAACTACCGGAGAGTTTCTCTACGGTCGCCGTGGCTCATGCAACAGATAATAGCGTTGCAAATAAATCTGAGGGAGTGAGCCGGTCGTTATTGTGTCCGATCTTTTCAGTTACGATTCTACGCGGATCACTGCACTCGAGTCCCCGCAACGAGTTCTTGAATGTATGGGTGGTCGATACACGCGGCAGTTGGGTGGCTACCTGGACGGGACGCGACGTTTGCGGCCAGGTATCTACCCCATGGGTAGAAAGAAAGGAGGGAAGGAAGGAAAAAAGTGGTCGTCGCTGCGTGGCAGTTGGTATCTGCTCGTGGCGTCGGCCAGTCTACCCTAGCATTGTTGCGGCTTGTCATTGAGGGGGTGTGAGCAGAGGGACGTGAGAAGTCAGGGGGTTTACAGGGGGAGGGGAAGAAGGAAGGAGGAGAGGGCGACCGGTGAACGTGGAAAGTAGGTAGGGTAGGTGGGCTAAGGCTCTCTCGGCGAAGGTACCTCAAAAAGGTAGAGGAAGGCGGGAGAGAACGCGAGAAGGGAACTCGACGAAGTAAATATGCGACAAGTTAGCATCCGCATATAAATCTAGCGGCGCTCACGGTGACAGGTCACGCAGCGGAGCCTTCTAGTTTAGATCGGGGCTCCCGTTCCATTTACCCACCTCATTGAAGGCGTACGTACGCGCATGTTTTGCGCGGACGTGCACGTCCCCGTCCACGATCGCGACCACGACCACGACCACGTTCACGTTCACGAAATCCCGGAGTTTTATGCAGTCCCGCGATCCCATCGGGATAATTCTGAAACGTCATGGGACAGAGTAGGCGGCCGGTTGGCGGTGGCCAGGGAAAGAGAGAGGGGTGGAAGGTTAGGGCATGAGCTGGCAGTTCAAAGAGCAGCCGACTTTTTCTGTTCGGAAATCCTTTTGTGCTCGTTTCCAAAGAAGCACGTTGACGGAAAAAGAGACACGGTCGCTCGTAAATCTAACTCACAATTAAGAATTAAAGGAACTGTTACTCGGCCCGGAGTTATACAGAGGTGGGGGGAACACTTGGAAAAGGGATGCCCAAATGTCAAGATAGGATCGCGTGCAGACATGTGGTATTCGCATTGTTGTTCTCGTCGTCGTTGCCGTTGTAGTTGTAGCCGGTAGACGTTGTAGCCGGCGTAGCTGTGTCGTAGCGTGTACCGGCAGGGAAATAGAAAAGGAGAGGAAGAAAAGGGGAAAGAGTGCAACGGCAGCGGCAACGACAGCGACAGTGACGACGGTGGTGGCAGTTTTCGCGAAATTACTGGGTTCAGCGGCGTACGTTTAACGGGTGCCAGTACAGGATAAAGGGTGAGGGATCGCGGTGTGGTGTTGGTTGATAGGGGACGAAGCGAGGGGGTTGGCAGCCGGGTTCGTATGTATGCGCCGGTAGAAGGCACAGGTAACGGCGCAGGTGGCGCGACGGGGCGAGTCGCGCTAACTTCTCTCTGCAAACATGGCAGTCGTCACGCAAGTCACAAAACCCGCCAACGATATCGCGGCTTTCGAACTCGCCAACAAATACTAGGAAAACGAGTATTCGAAAGCCATTACACGCAATGGCCGCAACGACTATCGTTCGTTGCCGGCCGTTAGACCCGCAAGGGACAGGAGGATCTAATATCTCTGACGTGTCGGTGCTGTGCGTACGCCGTTCTGCATATATGCAACTTAGGCCGGCAGATATGTTTTAAGTTTTTGCCGGGATTCGACGACGTTGACCGATCGTAAAAGCGATTTCACTGGCACGGCACACAGAGAACGGCCGACAAAAAAGATTGGAACCAGATCTTGAGGCCTGGCAGCGCAGCGATACGAGCAGAGGCGTAGGCCGCGGTTGAACGTGCCCTGCGAAATTGATTCCATTATCGATCGGCCAAGCGGAGCACAGAAAGCCGAGAAATTGCCGGTATTTTGTTATCGTTCGTTATCGTACGTTATCGTCGCGCGCGAGTAGGATATCTATGCATACATCCTACCTAGGAAGCGTAGGTATGCGAGTATGTAAATGACTCTCTGCGCACTGGATGCAGGCCAATGTCCTGCTGGTTGCGCCATTGGGATCGAGCGATCTTCAAGGCCGTCAATTGCTCAGCTTTAGTCCTCAATGGTGTTTCGCAAGAACGACCCATATAACGAACTTGACGCGACGCGTGGCGCCCACCCTCCTTTGATCTCCGGTGAAAGGTGCTCTCGCGAATCTCGAGGACGCTCGACCGTTTTATCGTGAGTTCCCTTTCTCCTGAATTGCGTCGTGCAGTGAGAGCAAACCTCGTGGAATCGACCCGCCTTGCTGCCGCTCTTACCGCGATACGGAACGGAACGGAAATTGGTGCGACCGTGTGATACCGCAAAGATTGGCGCACCGAGCGCGCTCGTAGACTCGATCCCTGCCAGCGAGCGCTAGATCCGATCACGTGGCCGGGGCTAAGTATGGTGCAAGTAATTACAGTTGTACTTACATTCCGCGGGAACCCGAGTAAAACTGGTTTCGTACGGACTGCCCACTCGAGCTCTCGATTGCAATAGCGCCGCGGAAATCATATTTCTGCGAAGTATTTACGAGACAGCCGGCTCCGAACGACAACTGGATCGCTCGCCCGGAAAGAAAAGAAAAAATGAACGAGTGTAAAGCGTACACCGAGATTTCCATCGGCACTTACGCGAACTATGCGTCTCAGAACTTTACTGGTGAACTTTCCGGGCTGGTTTTATTTCCTATGCTCTCTCGCAGTCACCGGGCGAAATAAAAAAAAACTCCATTTAGCCGGATGCGGATGTTCCGCACTTCTTTTCCCTATTATCGTCCTATAAACGGCGCGTTTAAACTTTCAAGAACAGAAACTTCTTGGGGAACTGGTATCGAACGGAAGTAATTTCTTGTGTGAATGCGCAACACGACCCCCGACGCAATCCTCGCACGACCCTTTGCCGTGCTCGCGTCGCATTTCACCGACGACCAGAGCCTGCTGATTTTCACCTGTTTGTCCGCTGAAAGAAACAGATTTTCCAAATAGAAACATTGGTCTCCGTGGTACGTGCAGACTGCGGTAGTGGTGTAGGCCCATTAATAATGTAAGTGTGCAGATGGTGTGCAGTGAGTGCGCGGTGGCGCTGACTAGGATCAATGTTCCGTTCGCAATCTATATAGTATATAGTACAGTATATGTAACGATAACCGGCTGTACGAGAAACAACACCGTTACACAGGTTACTTCCACAGAATGTATTTGCAAATATTCCGATCAAACGTAGGATAGAACAGATATATTCGAAAGCAAACAGAGACAAGGATCGCCGGGATTGCGTATTCTTCGAGTTCTTCTGACTGTGATTCTTCGAAAAATAGAGATCGATTTTCGTGTTCTTACGATAGAACGCGTGTAAGCGTTCAAGCGCCGCAAAATTAGCTTGAAAGATCGGGAAACGTCATGAAATGTAGAAATTTAATTAAAGCATGGTGGGTTAATACGAATTATGCGGGCAGAGCGTATCGCGAAAAGGGCCTCCGGGATGATAACGTTGGTCCGAAATATAAAGATATAGATCGATCCTCTAACAATAGAAATAGGAACGGTGAACGATGATAGAGCGATAATGTAGTCCACGCGTCCGGTAATTCTAACATAATTTTCGGGCGGACAGGATGGGGTTATTAATCAGATATACGATTCGCAGGTGTATAATAATAACGTATTTTATAAATTTATTCACATGATTTAAATAAATCAAGTATACAGTTAAGTTTACGACGCATGCGCTAAATGCGTGTCTCTGTGGTTCAGGGTGTCGCGAGCGCATGCTTTTCCGCTTCTCACTCTTAATTATCGTTTTTTTGTTGTCATTCATTCTTACGCGATGAATAATATCTTACACGAGGCGACGCGTCCGAGATATACATATTTACATATCATACAACATTCGATTGGACATATAAAATTACAAAAAGGTCACTCTACCTAGTCGAGAATTGAAAATTGAAGCTAAAACTTTCTACGCGGCGGAACTCGTACGCCAGAATCGACGTTATCGTTTTGTTGGTATTATAGTTATGTACAATGTACATACGTACACATACGCTGACGCGCGTATACAGCTTGCGGCTCTATTTACATATTGCGCATTTTTTCTCGTTTTTTTTTTGTTATTTTATAATAAATATGTACACGCGTGGAAACGAATCGCCATTTATGGACGATTACCCGGCGATTTTCCGCGCAAAGGAGACGGCTTGTTTATACTTTATTGCACAGTGAAAAGTCGTCAAGCGAAGTGGAAGAGGGAATAGAAGAGTCCCAGTCGGACTAGGTTCTCGCGAGACGCCATTCAGAAATTCACATAGTACAGTTTTGCGCGCGCGCAATCTGTTCCCGAAGAGAAAGAGAGAGAGAGAGGGAGAGAGAGAGAGAGAGAGAACGAAAGAGATGGAGGTTGAGGTTCTGATATCTAGCGAAGAAGGATGAAAGACAACAAAAGAGAGGGAAAGGGTGGAGGAAATAGAGCGAACGCAAGGGAGAAAAGGAAACGGTACAAGTGGAAAAGTGGACAATCACGCTTTTGCCGATGAAACAAAGCAACAGCGAGCATACTCGACGGGTAGAGAAAGAATCGTCGCAAACAAATATTTCCAAAGTGGTTATCGGTGCTCGGCTAATCGTATGTACCATCGCGAGGCTACCCCGTCGTGTGTTCCCGTCGAGGGAAGGCCGTAACAAAGCGAAAGCTCGATAATCTTTAGAGGTACCAACACGAAATCTCGTTTATCCCGTAACCTCCGATACTCGATACACGAATTGTAATCGAAAATATATCTATCATTTATCAACTATCCAAGGTTATCGCGTTGATCACGATCAGAAAAACTTGGGAAATATCTGTCGCCGTCGCCGTCACCGTGAGTATACGCCAATCCCTCCCCTTTGCGGCGCGGACACGGAAAGCGGGACAAGCTTTTTTTTCCAACGGAGAAACGTATCACAAGCAGAAGACAATTCACGCGGAGCTAGACGAGATAGGCCTGGCCGGAAGATGGTGGCGGCGGCGGAGGCGGTGGTTGTTGCTGTCTCCAGGCAGTTCTCTCGAGCGTCGAATAATCCGAGTCGATGGACGAGTATATGTGTTCGGACAGCGGTCTCCTGTGATCCTCGCTGCTGCCGCTGCTCACCGTCGTGTTCGTGGCGATGAGATTGCTACCTGGTACAGTAACCGCATCTCGGTAGGCGTGATTGACGGTCAGCCTAGGCTGCGGCGACGAAGGTGGCAGTTGCTGTTGCGGCATCGAAACCGTGCCGCAGGAATAGGCGGGCGGCGCATGCTGCAACATTAATGCGGTTGTTGGGGACGAGTCTTTGAAGAAAGTCCTCTGCCTCTCTTGCGCCCGCAGCGTCGACATGCTCGTCTTCTCGCTGCCGACGCCGTCCAGCGTGTACGTATTGATGTTGCGTTTGTAAACGAGCGGCGACGATTTGTTCTCCATGGATATGTCCCCCGTATTTGCCGGTGGTATCGCGTATCTCAGACGCTCCCAGAACCTCTTCTCGCCCCACGTGAGTATCGCCGCCGCGGTTCGAAGGTACGGCCGCAGCTCCGGATCGCGTTCCACTTCCGGGCATGCATGACCAGCCTGTACAACGATCAACTGAGTGGTCCGGCCGCGGAGCGCCTCGTGAAGCGCCGCACGGAATTCGAACCGCGACCATTCGGTTTGCAAGAAATTACGAGTTAGAACTATCAGTACTCTGCGGGACGCGTCGACCGCTTCCAGGACGATCGGTGCCGGGGCGGAACTACGGAGCACGCAGGGCAGATCGCGATGGTGTAGACACAGTCTCAGACCGGCGGTGCCGTGCTCGAGCTCCACGGCCAACGAATGAAGCACGAAGTCCTCGTCGTTCGGACTGTAACAGACGTAGCAATCGTACCGACGTTCCCTGTCGCCGTCGCAACAAGCAGTCATCGGCGCGGCTGACGGTATCGTCGCCGTCCCCGTCGATTTGCCGGGTTTCGCGCGCAAGAATCGCAATCCGTACTTCGAGTAAGCCCAAGCGCCGACCGGCTCGCGGAATACGAACGCGAGGACTATGATTACCAAGAGAACCAGCACCGCCGACAGAGTGGCGGCTACGTGAGGCAAATAATCGGATAACATGATGCTTTCGATCACGCCGCCCTCGGAAAAGTAATCGGAACAGACCGTTTCGTTGACGTTCAAACGGCGCCTGTAAGCTGGTCTCGCGTCGCCGCCGTAATAGCACCAAACGTCGCTCGCATCCACGATCTTGTGAGCATTGTCCGATACCCAACCCGACAACTCCTGCAAGAATTTACACCGGCAAGACCATGGATTACCGCCTAAAGACAGTTCGACTAGCCGCGCGTTCAAATTGACAAGCCAGACTGGGAATGTTACCAGTCGGTTACCGCTCAGTCTCAATATCTCCAGGGAATGCAACTTCCAGAACGTCAGGTTACCGATATATCCTATCACGTTGTTCTGCAGATACAATTCGCGCAGATGAGAGAGATGCTCGAACTCGAAACCCTTCAGCTCGCGTATCCTATTGTCCTCTAGATGAAGTATCTGCAGATTGTTTAAACCGTTGAACGTGCGGTTCTGTATCGACTCGATGCTGCTACCGTTCACGTAAAGTACACGCATATTCTTGCGTCCGATAAACACATGATTTTGCAACTCGCGTAACACGTTACCGTCCAGATAGACCTCGGTCGCGTCCATCGGTATTCGCCGGGGTATTTCCTCGACTCCGAGGCCGGAACAATCCACAGCGTTCGTATTCCAAGTGCGGTCGTTGTAACACTTGCAGCCGGCCGGGCAGGTCATCTCGCAGTCGCACGCGTCGAAATCGCAGCAATGACAGAGGGCGAAACAATGGGCCTCGTAACGGCAAAGGAATTGTTCCGATCGGGCCGTGGAGGCGGGTACGATGGCGACGCCACGTGGGCCGGAAGTGCGGCACATCACATTGTCGAGATCCATGATGCGCGGATATTCTCGGGTCGACGTTTGATTGTTGATCGCCGGCAGCCAGTCCATCGAGCAGTTGCAGTTGAACGGGTTGCTGCCGATGTAGAACTCCGGCAGCGGTCGATCCTCCGGGACTTTGGTCAGCAGCAACGAAGTCAATTCCATTGTCTCGATCATGTTCGCGTACATGTCGACCCTGGTCAGGTTCACCTTGTCCACGAACGTATTCGGCCGAACGACGCTAATGTAATTGTTATTTATAAAGAGCAACTCGACGCTGTCGGGCACCGACAACGGAGACAACTCCGTGATGCGATTATGACTGGCGTCCAAGGTTTTCACTTTCGAATCGCGAATCTCGTAGTAGTTTCCCAGGCTCTCGATGAAATTGCCGTGTATATCCAGCCATTTCAGGTTCCCCGGTATGAACGCGTAGTCGAACCATTCGATATGATTCTCGGAAAGGTTTAGCAACAGCAAGCTGGTTATGCTGGTGAACACGCCGTTGATGTCCGACAGGAAGTTCCCGTCCAATCGTATCGCCTCCAGCCGTAAATTCCTCTCGAACGCGTGCCTCTCGACGTGCTGCACCTTGTTCCTAGCGAGATTCAAGATCTGCAGGTACGGAAGATCCCAGAGCATACCGCGCGACAGATTGCCGATGTCATTCCCGATCAATCTCAGACCGGTTAGCTGATGAAGATTGCGGAACGAGCCATTGTGAAAATCGCTGATCCGGTTCTCGCCGAGGTCGAGGGTTTTCAAGAAAGCGAGGTCGTGGAGCGCGTCGGGTACAGCGGTAAGCTCGTTACCGCTCAGATCCAGCTCCTTCAAATCGGAACAGTTGCGAAACGCGAGCGGGTCGATGCTCGCTATAGAATTGCCGGACAACGTCAGGCGGTTTAGAACGAACAGGCCGTTGAAAAGTCGTTCTCCCACGGTGTGAAGCTTGTTGTCGGAGAGCTCGAGGGTGTGCAGATTGTAGAGCGGAAAGAACGCGTTGCTCTCGATTCGATCTATGGAATTGTTTCGTAGATCGAGTATCTGCAGGCAGGAAAGGTCCTTGAACATACGCGCGTCGATGTGCGTCAACGAATTGTAAGACAAGTCGAGGACGACCAGACGGATCAGCCCGAGGAAAGTGGTTTCGTCGACTTGGTCGCTGCCGAGCCGATTGCCGGCCAGATTGAGGACCTGCAGCTGCTTCAGCCGAGTGAATATACCCTTCGGCAGGTCGCGGAGGCCATTGTACGCCAGGTGTATCTGCCGAAGGTCCCTCGTGCTGGCGAACAGCCCTTCGGGCAACGAGTCCAGGGAATTATAACTCGCGTTGAAAGTACGCAGAACGGTCAGCCCGGTGAGCGCGTCACCGGCAATTTCTACGATCGCGTTTCGCTGCAGGTGCAGCTCTTGCAGTTGCCGCAGGCCAGCCAGCGTACTGTTCTCGGGCAACTGTGTAATCTCGTTCCGGGACAAGTCCAGAATCCGTACGTCCGCGCGACAGGCCTCGATGGTTTCGTTGGGTGGCAGGTCCTGGCGGCTCAACCCGATGTCATTGGTGTCGCGCAAACGGTTCCCGGTAAGGTTCAGCGTTTGAAGATTATCCAGTCCGCAGAGGAGATTCGCTGGAAGCGTGTGCAAATTGCTCTCGACGATTTCCAACGTGTGAAGCTCCCGAAGACCGAGGAACGAGTCGGGCGCGAACTCGAGGACGCGACCAGCACCCCAGGCGGAATTGAAGGTCTGCATGGTCAGTCGTTTCAGCTCGAGAAGCGGTTGGAAAGCACCCACGGGTACGCGCAATACTTTACACCCGTCCACGTGCAGGTCGTGCAAAGTGGTCAAACGTTGCCAGCTTTGCGCGTTGAAGGTGCTCTCGAAATGATGGACGTCGCTGCACCGTATACGCAACTTGAGGGCCCCGTCGAGGGACGGCACGAGGCTCGTGATCGCGGCAGGATCCAATACTCGGAGGGTGCAGTCCGCGGAACGGGTGTCGTTGCCACCCTCGGACAACCACTTGCAAGAGGCTCCGGCTGATTCCGAGAGTATGGTCGATGCGAGGCAGAGGAAAGCCGCGTTAATCAGCGTCAGAAAAATATAGTTGGCTGTCATCTTGGGATCGTCGCAGGGGGATAGTTGCACGCAGCTCCCTTGGCTTCTCGAGTTAGGCTGGCCGATTTTATATCACTTTCGGAATACAGGGATACTATTTCGCACCCTTGCTCACCCCTTCCTCACGGACACACTCGCGCATCGACGACACACGCACGCACATACACACGCGGAACGAGTGCGAGCGCGCGCGCGCTCATGCACCTCCTATCACGTAAGTACGGACCGGCCCATTTCTCTTGCCCTTTATTCGTAGTTGGCTGGTGGCGAGCCACCCTGCCCTACGTTCCTCCACCGTGTCTCACTCGCGATCTTTCAAATTTACTTGACTCGACGGACGTCTCTCCGCTGTTCGCGGTTTCGATCCCTCTCCCTCTCGCTAACCAAGGTTCTACATACGCCCTCGTTGCTTGGCACTACTCTCTACGTGGTCGCACAGTCGCGGCAAGTAGTACGAACACGCTTTAGCGAAGCGACAGAACGAAAACAGTCTGTGCAAACCCGTATCGGCGAAGCGACCGTGCACCACCGTACACACTCGCCTCGCATCAAGCACTAGCACTGATCCAGCAGACCGCTGTGCGCGCATCATCGGCATTCCCGACCGTTCCTTTTCGATTTCTATTTCCGTCGGCAGAGGCCGCCACTTTATTAGAATTCCCCGCAGAGGCCGGCGCGAACAACACCAGAACGCGAACCGTAACGTTAAGTCCATATGCTCGTTGGTATGTGCACCGGTTTTCCTGTGCTCTTTGCCGATTGGTGCACTTTTTCCCTACTTCACCACAACCGTACCACGACAATATGCATACCAGGCGGTCACAGAGTATTCTGTGATCGATATATAAATTTTCAATACGAAACGGTATAGGGGGTTGTGCTTGACGGGCATCGGTTCGTGTACACATAATTTACGCTGATTTCATGAATCTTTCCGCATTCTATCTCGTTTCGATGATACGATTTTCCTAAATTTTGCCTAAATCGATGATCAGTTTGTTTCGAAGCAGTCGCTTTGATAGAAATGTTGGCGTGCTTCGAGATTCGAAGAGTTCATGAGAAATATTTAAATATCATTTCTTGGAAAACTCTGTCGTTACGTTCTGAAATACATATGTACACGTATCTGAGATATGTTACGAAATGTATCTTGGTTTGACTATGTTAACAAAATCGTACGAATCGTACACTCACCGCATCGTTCCCCGTGCTTACATATTTTTTTCAAGCGATGATGAAATAACATAATTTTTTCAAATATAAACCAAATATCGCTACACTCTTGCCATTTTAATTCTAAATCTTCCAAGGAAAAGGCAATGAAATCATTTTTCTAATAATATTTACACGCCCGCATACCATGTATGCCATCTGGGGAGAGTGTTCAAAATGTAAAGTTACGTAGCGTCGCTACTGTCCTTATAGAGTTGCAATTGGTGGAAGCCGAGGCTAGCGACCAGTTCAATTTCAGCAGAAGCTTACGTTGGACGTATTTGCGACGCGTTGTTGCGGAGTTCTGTTTAACACCTGATTAAAAAGTATACGTAAATAGTTGATCGAAACTGTTCTTATCTCGCTAGAAAAATGAGATTAGTGTATCTATTTTGCATTTTCCTGACTATAGCAGTCTGCAGCATTGCGAGAAATGATGGTAAGTGTAAAAGTTTCTTGCCGTATTGCTTTCGTGGAGTCTATTAACGTTTCGTGTGTCTAAGAATGTCTAATACGTACGAAACATTTCCCTGTAAAATCTCTCGTCGTACAGTTCGTGTGATATTGTTCACACGTGTGAAAAGTAACGGTACACGCTACGTGATGAGGTGAAAGGATACTGGAGAATGATATTCTACAAATTTTGTAATTTTACGCAGCGGTCACGAACGTTTGTTTTGCACTAACACGAAGCAACCCTTCGCTATATCGTTCGAAGCCTCTAGAAACGCATATGGATTTGATTCCATTTCGTAGTTTGACGATTTCTAATAGCTTGTTTCGAATTTCTCGGTTAATTACGATGTCCTCCAATACTTTTGCATAGAGGTTTAGTACTATTATTGATTTTGTGTAACTTTCATATTCTACAGTCCCGTACTCGCTATGATACCTTATAGTTCGGCCAGTACATAAGAGTGGCGTTGGTTTGTTGTAACGTTTACAGCATACCGTGCTTTCAAGAAATTTTGTTCTAAGTCATTCTAGTAAATATTACGACATTTTGTTCGTTCTTATATATTGAAATATACAATGAGTCTTTTTCAAATAACTCTTTCGCAAGTAATGATTTATTATGTGATATGTTTTTCTATCATGTGCTCTACTAGCATAATTGAATAAATACATTTCACAAATTTAAAGATTACGAATACAATTCTATAGAAATATTATATTAGCAAAGAGAATTTATTGTTTGTATAATTTTAATTTCTAGTAAATGTATAAATACTATAAATGAAGATATGAAAAATTACCTATATTAATGATTTATGTCCTGTTAATTCTTTACACAGCTGCTCCAACAAATGAAGAGAATATACCTGCGAACAACAGTCAGGTATATACTGCTGCAGAACCTGGAAAACCTGTAACTTCAGGAAATCCTACTGCAGTTACTCCCAATGCTTCTATAAATATAAGTAATATTACTATCGCTAGCTCTGATGTTAAAACTACCAATGCTACTAAAAATAATGATTCCAAGATAACTACTTCTTTACCAACAATTCCAACGAAACCAACAACTACGACTACAACAACTAAAATACTACCAACTACATCTAATAAACCTTCCGAACAACCAATAACTACTACTATTAGTACCACTACTAGTAAACAGACTACCGTTTCACCAACATCTGTTACAACAGCAATTCCAATATCAACAAAGGAAGCTCCACCACACAAAGAACGGCAGTTTGATGGTCTCAGTTTCGTAGGTAAATATTTTATATCTTTTATTATTCTATCTAAAGGTAAATTACATTTACAAAATTATTTGAGGGAAAGCATAGCATAATAGTTTCCTATAGTTGCATCATGTTCTTTACATTTTTGTAGGTGGCATCATTTTAATCATATGCTTGATGGCAATTGGTATATTCTCCTACAAGTTCTACAGAACATTGAACGAAAGAAACTACCGTACGCTATGATGGTGAGGAGGTCATCGTCTCAAAAAGTACCGTTTTTTGACAACTTAAATGCAGTTATTTGAACTGAAAACTATAAATTTTATTATTCTATAACAATATTGCGTATTTTTATAACGCACTTAAGTGTTGCGTGGTTTAAGTGCTCTTAGTAATGTGATGTGCAAAAAAGCGAGTTCCGTTTATTTGTACCAATTACAAAGAAAAATTACATGTATTACAGTATTGTCTCTCAACAGATTCGCACGCGTATTGTGATTGCGAATGCGATTGCGAGAACGAAAAGCTAATTAAACGTGAAAAGCTGGAGTGGAAGGGGAAAGTACAGAACCTAAGGGCGTGAAAAAGAAAGGGAGAGAAAATCTGAACGTTACCATGCGTATGCGCAGTTCGCGCATGAATGTTGACGACCAATCAAACATACATTCCATTAAGAAGATTAATTTGACGAGATAACGATCAACATATTACGTTCGATTTGATTTCGTAAAATATATTTTTTATTTTCATCCTTTTTTTTTATTTCGTTAACGAATGTACTTCGTACATAAAAGTATAACGGTTACATTAGCATAAGATCATCAAAATGTACACAGATATGAAGGTTCCTATGTGTATATTTATAGAAAAATTAAAAACATGAGAATAGAGAATTAATCGGTTAAGACAGAGTTTTGGGAAATGGCTGTAAAGGATGCCGATTTCGAGAATTCAAAGTACTGGATGTTCTCTAAATGCAGACTATCGTCCCTGCGGAGATAATATTTAGCATTTAAATTTGGGCGATAGCGAGGGCGGTGGTGCTCCGTGTCGCTCGAAGAAACGTGACGTTCGTGTGTATAAAGTGTAGTCGCTCCTGTGGACGACTTTACCTTGTAGTAACGTTGACGTGGAATTTTCATAGAATTCATCAGTGAGATGAAGCTTCGGAATCTCGACCTTTGTACCTGTTGAAACACGATAGATGTGTAATGGTTGACGAAAATTGAAAGGGTTTCAGCATACCACAAATCGAACATGCTGCTTAATATTTTGTTGTGAAGGGTTTCAGTTACGTTGTTCATTTTTTGTAAATCTTTAACATCAGCGGAGTATAATAAAACTTTATTTTGAATAGTTTGTTCTCGAAAATATACATTTTCTGTTGCTGAGATGAAGAAATAAAAATTACCATCACGAATACAGATGCGCCGTGACCACGGCTGATTAAACTTGCTCCTATAACACCCTCCGCAGATTGCAACGCGGTTACGACACGCTCGATATCGTCTGGCAAAACGTCGAACGATTCACGCGTGCATTGATCATTTTCCCACAAAAGTCTCCCTGTAACATTCATCAAACGTTCATTCTATAATTTTCTCCACTGGAAACATCTTTTGGGATGAATGCGTGGTACCTAAACAAAAAAAAATACCTTTGGAAACATATTTAAAGCGAGAGAGACAGGATTTACTATTATAAAGAAAAGTATATATACATAAATGCCTAAATAATATAACATATATTCGATGTAATATTTTAACAAGCTATGTAAAATATTTGCTTATATGAATTATACAATATTAAAAGTATGCAATGGAAAAAAAAACGGCAAAACAAATTGTGTTATGCTTTCTATACTGTTTGGCATCCTACCCAACTTCTTCCATCGTTGTGCTTGTATTGCTTTTATCATTTCCGATATTCTCTTATCTTCCTTGTGCATATTCTCGGCCAAGGTCATCGTATCTTGAGAAAACAGACGTTCCATCATCGAAGCGCCTTCCGAGTTTGCACGCCATTGAGATTTCGTGTTCCTGACGATCGCGACTTCTTTCTGCCGCGATAGATCTAAGTGGTACTTCGATGATTGCCGGAGATTGATATTAGGAAATTCGATAACAATCATTTCCACTTTGATCGTCTCCCAGACGTAGTTGTCGATGTTCAAATACCGCGGATCGAAGGCAATTATCGTATCTTCGTTTCCGATTACGGAAGTCAAGGAATCGGCAGTACGATTCTGCCGTGATCCCGAGGCCAGCCTCTGCGCCAATTGACACATCAGCGTCTTTTCCAGCACGTTCGTTGTTTGCGCATTCGTAATTGCCTCGAGAAAAGTGTATAATGCGACGACCAGGGCGGAACTGCTACCGAGACCGCATTTTACCGGCACCGTTGAAACGATCACGATCTCAAATCCCGGAACATGCACTGTTATCAGTGTGATGACATTAATACGCAAGACAGTCTTTTTAAATTCCATGTCTATGATTAATCGAACTCGACTCAACATTTAGATCGTAAAAAGAAACTTGGCTTATTTTACGATATTTTCAACGGCTACACTTTGAAAATACTGTGAAATATTTCATTGCGGAGCAGTGAAAATGAGGTGTAATAGATTTTCAAATGTGGCATAATATAACAATATTATGCTCGTTTGTATTTTTTATCGTCGTCGAACATATTCTTTTTCTTCGATTTAATCCCCGAAATAAATAAATTGCGATTTTTTAGTTAGGGAGTGAGATATCTTTCGTAAATAAAAAAACCAGGACTATATTGTGAATATAAATACATATAGATTTTGTTTAACAGTTAAACTAATGTGTTTAAAAATATTGTAGCGTGCACAATGTCTGTGTTACTGGATGCCTATTTTAACATTCATCATACATTAGATTGATAAGCTAAGAATGATTGCATTTAAACAGCAACATCGGGATCTAAATGGTTAAATTATTCTATCAGTTCTAACAGTGTAGTTTCCATGCTCGGTTTCGCTCACACTGACAACTAGTTATAAAAAGACTAGAGCAAAAAATATAAATATGACTTTTGCTATTGTAATTTCTAGTTATTAACCCTTTTAGTGCTGAACGACGATATATGTATTGTCGTTTGGTACACTAGAGTTGTGTTATATGCATCACAAGAGATCTATATTTCAAAATAACTTTATAAAACGTTAAAATACGTCACACACGTAACACACAATTGAAAGAAAAATGTTCATTAAATTTTTTTGTTATATCTTATGCTGCTCAGCGTCGAGGTTCTGTATATGCCGGAGCGATAAGGTAGAAACGGGACACGGGATATCCCTTGATACAGGGTACATAGTTTCTTGAGACCGTAATCGCAATCTTCACAATGTTTATAATAATTATCAGACAGCTCAAGTGACACGCCGTGCATCGACACGGCGAGGCTAAAATCTTTCTTTCAGTCTTTATTGATCCTTCTAAAAACCGTCAACGTTTTGATAAAAATACAATTTGTATTTTTTTTTATTAAAAATTACTGGAAATGAAGTACTTATATTTTATACCACGTGACATGAAAATATTGTTCGTAAAAGAGAAACTCGTTTCTATGTTTTTTATCAATAAGTATTGAAATACAATCGCCATTACATTACTCTCCCATTCTTCCCCTATACGCTGCGTTTTGAATTTTTTAAATATCATTCTTAGTTTGGTTTTTATAGGCTTCTTCCTAAACCATAGTAAATTCGTCAAATTCGTCCGGTTATCTTCGCATAGACACCGGTTTTTCGTTCGGCACTAAAAGGGTTAAAGATAATTATACTATTTGTTTCGATGTTATTGAAGTTGATATTATCTGTATATTATTTCCTCCGTAAGTAATGCATATTTTATGAATGATCTGCAATTTTCATCGATAAAATGCGTTATTGTTTAGTCTCATATGCACAGACGGTAATATTTTTGCGTTGATGTTTCATTTGTCATTGAGAAAATGAATTCTATAAAAGTGAGCGCGTGTAAATGAATAGAACCCCCAACAAANTAAAACGCTGATTAGTGAAAATATTGTTTGCAAAAGAGAAACTTGTTTCTATGTTTTTTATTATTGTTTATATTGCTGTTATTCATATAATTTTCAATAAGCATTGAAATACAATCGCCATTACATTACTCTCCCATTCTTCCCCTATACGCTGCGTTTTGAATTTTTTAAATATCATTCTTAGTTTGGTTTTTATAGGCTTCTTCCTAAACCATAGTAAATTCGTCAAATTCGTCCGGTTATCTTCGCATAGACACCGGTTTTTCGTTCGGCACTAAAAGGGTTAAAGATAATTATACTATTTGTTTCGATGTTATTGAAGTTGATATTATCTGTATATTATTTCCTCCGTAAGTAATGCATATTTTATGAATGATCTGCAATTTTCATCGATAAAATGCGTTATTGTTTAGTCTCATATGCACAGACGGTAATATTTTTGCGTTGATGTTTCATTTGTCATTGAGAAAATGAATTCTATAAAAGTGAGCGCGTGTAAATGAATAGAACCCCCAACAAAAATTCAATAACGCGTTAAACAAATATTTATAACAAGCGCTAAAAATCTGGTTTCGTTGAGCGCGTTAAAATGCATCGAAAAATATTATGCACTGACAAACATTTGTTCCACGGTTACCACATATCATTTTGTATTCTACGTGATTATCCGATTTCGCTGACTTTCAATTAGCCTGAACGGGATGCTTCTCGAATTAACGCTTCGCAGTAATCTTATCGCACTAATCCAATCCGTACTAAACGTACAAAGTGAAAAAAGAATCTAGAATAATGATGATCGGGTGGATACCTCGTTTGGCCTTGAAACATTGTATTGTTGCCTTTAAATACCGTATCCACGCAGGATTCTCCGCGTGCATCTGGAGATTGTCATCGTTCACATAAAACCTACACGTGTTCTCCTCGGCCAATTCGTCCAACAGCGTTTTCACGTGACACCATTTGTTGTCTCGACTCCGTTTACCAACTATCAACGTGACAAGTTGAACGGCCTGTTTTATTTCAAGAGAAGATAATGGACGACACATGTGTGTGCGTTACTGTACGTTTCTGTTACGTTTTGTGTACTATGACTGCAGGCTTTGCATATCCAATTATCGTCGAAGCAAGAGGTGAATTTACGATAAACACTGTGCTCCAATGACGATTGCCGTTTAGGTCAACCGTTGACAAGGTATTATCAGTGGCGAAAGTCATTGGAGCACCGTAGCTCTGTTGACGAACACACTTTTCACAACTGCAGGGTGACTAAAAACGAAACGAATAACATTCATATTTAGCAGCTTATGTAGAAAATCTTTATCGCGAGTCTGGCTCGTAGTTTTACTCCAAGGAGTTAAGCATCATAATAAATGTGCGCATATCATAAATATAATTTTCTCTTTTTCTTCCAAGAAATTGTTACAATCGAAAAACTTCTAATCGTTGTAACTGCGAAGATAATGATCCGACGAGATATTAATTGTTTTAAGATTTTATATTCGATGGAGATGTTCTGCATAGAGTATTTCACAATGTAGCATACGATTCTTTTTTTTTGATATCTCAATTATCTAATTTTTTATAAGTATTTAACGTTGATTTTTTGTGATAAGAACCTGTTTTTTCTTCGACCCGCGGCCATTTCTACGATTATGAAAATTTTCGAAAACCTGTTAGGCTACATTTTAGATAATGCTTTTTAGTTTATAGATCAACAAAATGTTTTTAATTTAGACGTCTGTTCTATATGAAAAGGGATTTCGTAAACAACGAATAACATCGCCGTTTTCTACGATTTTTATTGACAAAAAAGAATCGAAAAACAGAACTGAAACTTACGTTTATATTCTCTTAGAAAGGCCGTATCTTTTATTCAGTAATCACATATAACAAAAAAATTCCCAAACATTACGTATTTCTTAATGCTTTAGGGTAGCGTCCCCCCTTAAAGGCGTTAATTCATGGTCGCGGAGTTAAGAATGTGACCTCGATATATCGCGAATGTGTAGCAGCGCAGTTACCAGGATGAACGACGGCGATAATTCAGCTAGAATTAACATAGGATAAAGTCGTTGTACTAACTCAGGCTTTACGATATTTGCAGAATGACCGAAGTGATTTCTGTTGCGTACCTTCCGCGCGAGTATTATCGCGTAGCCACCCTGCGTGTAACAGATAAATTTTCACGTACCATGGACAGCGAGTTACTTTCCGCCAGATTTGTGCCCTTGCCGGCTATAGTGAGGCATCCGGGCGCGTACACCGCGCATGTAGGGAACGCGCCGTAAGTTTGAATAAAGTCCTGTTCGGCGAGGTTCAGCAGATCATCGACATTAGGCGTTTGTTGTATATCGTTCGCGGAGTCATCGGCCAGGTAATATTTGATCAGTTTGTGGTAATCCTCGAGGAACTGCGCGGACGAAGTTTCACAGTATGTAAATGGTTTTCAGTAGTTTTCACGGATACGCGTGAATCGTTGCAAGGAGTTCAACAAGAATTTGCTCGCGAACAATGCGACACGCGATTTCTCACGGAGCAACGCTCGGCGGTGGCGGACTATGGTGGAAGCGGAAGTTTTATTCGGATTTTTCTATCACGAACAATGAGAGCTCTTACTTTATTGTTCGATGAATTGCCGACCGTGGAAGAGGCACACGCTGCGCGGATATTACGGGATTTATTGTTCACTCTGGAAATAGCCATCTGAACGGAATCCAAATGTTCAAATAAACCGATTTTTAATTTGACACTTCCGGTACGTTTGTCGGAGAGAAAGACGGAGATAGAAAACAAGCGAGAAGCTCCTCCCTGCGAATTTCTATATTTCTCTCTTCTTTTATTTTTTCCTGTTTGTCCTGGCGCAGCCGTCGCGCGAGCTGTCACGTATTTAATCTGTACGATGAACGAAGACGAGAAAAATCTACTAATAATTTCCTTGTTTGTGAACCGCGTCCGTAGAAATGAAATCAGTCAACAATATTCTGTTTCCCGTGAATGTGTCGAAATATTATCGTTCGTGATGTTTCGCCAATAAGGAAATATATTCGCGGAAGCACAGAGCAACAGCACTGAATCAGCGAACATTAATCAATATACGATAGCGTAGCACGTACCATGGAAATTAAACCGTGCTCAAACGTTGAATGTACAAGTTTGTACGATACTTGTGGTTACGTAAACCTTGAATTCTTCCTTGGAAATTGCAATTGTATGAAATCACTTCGCAGCTGTTACTTAATATTTATTAGATGTGCATATATTTGTTAAATACATATTTATTTATAAAGTTGGGACGCTCGAAGTTCAAAAATTTTTGAGTTCTCACAAAGTTATGGATTCGAATTTCACGAATCTATAAATCAGGTTTCGATTCATCTCTAATTTATTTATCTTTCATATAATATTCCTTCTACTTGTACATATACACATTATCACATCAAATCAAAAATTAAATGACATGTATTCGAAAAGGTATTATAACATGTATTATAAGATGCATATATTACAAGATTATTTATTAAGACTATTAAAAAATACATATATTATAAGATGTATTATAAAATCTATTACAAGATGTATAAAAAGTTTTATTTTATAAGGAAGATAAATAAATATCAAGTAATATAGTATATTTGTATAGATATTCTACTTTGTTTGTATCGTTTGTTTTATACAATTTGTATTAATACAGAACTTTATAATCGGTAAATTGTTCGAGAACAATATGTTTAAGATAATAATAAATCAATTTATGACCATCTTAAAATTAGTTACTTACTATCATTTAATAAACACACGACAATT